CTTTTGTTTTTTCAAGACAGGGTCTCTCTGTAGCTTTGGAGCCTGTCCTGGAACTCGCTCTTGTAGACCAGGTTGGCCTCAAACTCACAGAGATCCGCCTGCCTCTGCCTCCGGAGTGCTGGGATTAAAGGCGTGCGCCACCACTGCCTGGCTCACTACAACTCTTTTAACTTCAGTTTACAGTTTTCCAGTGACTTCGGGGAAATGGTCTAAGCTCTCTGCTTGGGTTTCCTCCTTAGTGAACCGAGGGTAGTAAGAGAACACTACCTCACTCCTGTGGTTGTCTTTGGGATCAAATGAGATAACACAGAATGTAAACAGGAGGTTCCCAAACCTACAGGTTTAACCTTTTTAGGGCTCTCAAATTTTATGCAGACAGTGTAAAGATTAGAAAGGCAACAAATTGCTGGCAGTGTTGATTCTGGGTGATACTTTTATTTTTCTTTATAGTTTATATTTTTTCCCAAATAACTTAAAAGCTTTTTTGGGGGGAGGAGACAAGGTCTCATGTAACTTAGGTTGGACTTCAGTTCACTTTGTAGCCAAGGATGACCATGGACTTCTTTTTTTGTTTGTTTGTTTGTTTTGTTTGTTTGTTTTTTTCAAGACAAGGTTTCTCTGTAGCTTTGGTGCCTGTCCTGGAACTAGCTCTTGTAGACCAGGTTGGCCTCGAACTCACAGAGATCCGCCTGCCTCTGCCTCCTGAGAGCTGGGATTAAAGGCGTGCGCCGCCACCCGGCTTGACCATGGACTTCTGATCCTGCTGATGCTTCCATCTTCCAAGTGCTGAGAATAAAGGCATGTCCCCCCCCCCCCCCAGTTTATGTGATGTTAGAGATGGAAACCAGGGCTTCATGCATGTATGTAAGCAAGCTGTCCACCCCAACCCCAACAGTGGAGATGGCCCTGGGTCTGAATCCCTAGGACCCACGTAGAGTTGGGTGTGGTGCAAAGCATGTTTGTACTTCCAGTGAGTGCCCTTACTGTGGGAAGAAAGGCGGAGAAAGGAGACTCCCAGGGAGCTCAAGGTCCAGCTAGCTCAGTGTACTCATGTCTAGGAGAAAACAGCAGAGACCCTATCCAAAATGTGGTGTGAGGGTTGACACTGGAGCTCTCTCTCTCTCTCTCTCTCTCTCTCTCTCTCTCTCTCTCTCTCTCACACACACACACACACACACACCCCTACTGTGGGAGGCTGATCACATGGGTTGTGGTGGAGTGCTCCTAAGCGTCTCCTTCCCCTGCCAATCCTCCCTGCCCAACCCTCCGCATTGCTTTTGTGTTCCTGTTGAGGATTTGGCCTGGCAAGTAGAAATTTGTGTGCTAGCACACAAATTCTTTCCTAATAAATAAAGGAAAGCAATAGTAGAACTAAAAAGACTGAGGGAGGAGAGTGGTTATTAGCCAGATAAAGTTTGTATCTATCTTAGCAGGAAGGCAACAGATTACAGCCAGTGCCAAATTTAGATACAAGCACAGAAGCGATTTATGCAGCTAGGTGGGGTCAACCTCAGGCCTGGAAACACAAATAGGTCTATGAGGTATACTCTCCGAGGTGTGTGGCTCTTTAGAGAGCCTGAGTGAGGCCCTGGGATTTATCTCCAGCAGTCATGGGAGGTGGTGGCTCAAGCCTCTAACTCCAACCTTAGGAAAGAAGGAGGCAGAAGGATCAGGGGTTAAAGGTTATTCTTGGCTACATTTCATATGAAGGCCACCCTGAGGTAGACAAGTTCCTGTTTTAAAGAAACAAATGTAAGTAGGTCTGGATTGAAGCTGGGCGTGGTGGTGCAGATCTGAAATCCCACCCAGTAGGAGGAGCGGGAGTTCACGGCCAGTTGATGGTAATTTAAAGGCCAGCTGGGCTACCAAGGACTCTGACACAAAAGAAAAATAAAGTTGATAAAGAGCGTGGTGGGGAATACCTTTAATACCAGCACGTGGGAGGCAAAAGCAGACTAATTCTTGTGAGTTTGAGGTCAACCAGGGTTATGGTAAGACCTTGGCTCAAGGGGGCTGGAGAGGTGGCTTACCGGTTAAGCGCAATGGCTGCTCTTCTAGGGGATCTGAGTTCGATTCCCAGCACTCACATGGTGGCTTTTCTGGCCTGCAGGTGTACATGCAGTGTACTCGGACATAAAATATAAATAAATAACTTACAACAACAACAACAACAACAAAAAGACGTTGGCTCAAATAAAAATTTAAAAATATGATTGGGCAGGATGATTCGGACGAGAAAGCAAGTGCTTGCTGTGGACCCCAATGACCTGGTCGGCCCTGGGAGGAGAACTGAGTGGATTGTCCTCCGACTGCTACACATGTGGGTGCATGTGTGCACAGACGCAGACAGACAGACAGGGCGGGGGAGATAAAGTAAACTAAAAGAGATAGCCCAGGATATGGAAAGCTTTCTCAATCTCTTCCGATACTTCTAAGATTTGATTGTGTTTGGTGGGAGAGGGTGTGCTGCAGCCAGTGTCCATGTGGAAGTTTGAGAGCAACTTGCTGGAGTTGGCCCTCTCCTATCGTGTGGGTGCTGGGGATCAAACTCAAGTCATCAAGTTTGGTGGCCACCTTGGAGCCTCCTGATTTGTTTGTTTGTTTTTTTTGATCTGAGTATATTATGTACACATTACTGAAAAATATTCTAAATTAGGCGGTGGTGGCACACGCTTTTCATAACAGCACGTGGGAGGCAGAGGCAGGGGGTGTCTGTGAGTTCAAGGCCAGCATGGTCTACACACACACACACACACACACACACACACACACACACAGTATGAGAGAGAGAGAGAGAGAGAGAGAGAGAGAGAGAGAGAGAGAAAGAGATCCAAGGCTAGACAGAGAACTCTGTCTCAAAAACAAACAAACAAAAAATTAATCTGTGTAGGCTCTGAAAGTTAACAAAAGTAAAAGCAAAAAGTAAAGGCTCACCATGTAGCACCGGCTGGCCTTGGATTTGCCTGTGGAGCCCTAGGATTACTGGCTGTGCTGCCATGACTTCTTGGCTATGAATACTAGACAAATTTCTCTAGTCTATAATTCTGTCTTCTGGAAAACTAAATTCATGTACAGGATGGCTCTGAAAATGAAATGAGGTTGTACACATACAGCTCATGAGTCAGTATTGGCCAACTCCTGCCATAATTTAACATCCCAAATTATTAATCATCATCTTCATAATGCACCGAGCGTGCTGGCAGTACTCAGGACACAGCACACAGCAGGCACGTACAAATGGATTCAGATGCTGAAGATTAGCTCTGGAGAAGGCTTGCCTACTATAAGAAAGGCCCTGTGTGAAATATAACTCTAACATAAAGTTTGTGAGGTTTGTTTTGTTTTTTGGACAAAGTCTCACCATGCAACTTTGGTTGGAACTCACTATATATAGATCAGGCTGGCCTCAAACTCAAAAGATCTGCCTGCTTCTGTCTTTCAAGGGCAAGTGCTTGAGTTTTGGACAGGATCTCACATGGCAGTCCTGGTTGATCTAGAACTCCCTACACAGACCAGACTAGCCTCGAAGTCACAGAGATCTTCCTGCTTCTATTTTCAAAGGGCTAGGATTAAAGGTGTGCACCACCACACCCGGCCACACAAAATAGTTTTAAAGACGGCTGGGCATGAGTTAGAGCATGTGCAGGATTACCATATGAGCCCCTAGTATAAAAAAAAGAAAAAAAATCAAAACAGTGTGGTGGCTCAAAAATAAATAAATAATAGGTAGATAAATAAAAATCTTGTCGTGGGAAGCATGGAGGCAGGAGAATCTGTGTGTTCGTGCCCTAGTCTATATAGCGAATTCCAGGACAGCCAGGACTGCATAAAAAACTCCGTCTCGAAAAAAATGGTTCTTGGTAGCCCCACTCCAGTGACTTCTCAGCACACAACTGGCTGCTCCAAGTCATCACAGATCCTCAACTGCAGTGTCAGCGAAGGCTGTGATGCCGGGTAGTCACGTGGAGCGGCGGGATGAAGGATGGGAGAGCGTGTGTGCTTTAGGGACTCTCCGGAGTCCTCAAACCCTCAAACCCACGCTGAGTGGGGTCTTCGGAGCAGCGAGGGTTTTCGGGAGTCGAGGAGCTCGCAGGAAAACCTGGGACTGCCCACGCACAGCGCGGGGAGTAGTAAAACAGAAGTCGGGTTTTCCAGTTTGAGAGTCGCTGCCAACACGGGGCGGGGTCATAAGGATAGTCACGCCTACCTTTCTGCAGAGGCTGTTAGCAGCCTTCACCCATTGCCCCTCCGTTTCTTCTCTTGCAGATACGCACAGTGCACACGCGAATCCCGTCGTGAATAAGGCGTGGCCAGCTCCCAATCCCCGTCTCAAATCCATGCCCGTGCCCCTTCCGCTCTGGTCACCTTTTAGTACTGCAGTACTAGCTTGAGGGTCGGCGAGAGGGGCTGGGCCAGTGAGGGTGCCCCGCCCACATCTTTGCAGAGGCCGCGCCCCTCTCTGGGCCTCTAAGCTCCAAGATAGCTATAGGCTGGAGGAGCCAGGGGGCGGGGACTGGGCGGGGCCTAGGCGGGGCGTGACGTCGTTGGGTGGGCGGCCGGCCGTGCGGGGGAGTCTGCGAAGATGAGGGC